GTGAGAACTCGCATTGTCGTGATGGAGGATGATGCGGCGGTTGCAGTTCTCTTTACGGAGTTCAGAAACGACCTGTGGCAAACAAATGCTAGCATGCCATTCTGAATTAACCGTTCTTTGTCCCTCAAGAGGAATTACGACTATTCCGGTTTACGGATACGGTTTTGGAGACAAACGTGGCCACCATTTTTTTTGCAACACTCCGTGAACGAGCAATTTTTGTTGGCTTTAACTTATTTTCGAACACCCAAACTCGTGACTGGTTTTTTGTTTCGGGTTCGTACGCGTATATCCAGAATTCGTTACCTGATACGATGTTGTATACAGCATTTGAGGATCCTGCGTGGAATCTTTCGAGAGTTCTGACGCACCAAGTAACGCGAGCCGCTTTTTGCTCTTCACAGAGCGAATGCGGTATCCATCGGGAAAACAACTTTTTTACAGCTAATTGTTCATGCAAGATTATTTGTATTTGACTCATGCCAATGTCTAAAGTTGCCTGAATTTCGCGATATGTCACATTTCGATCTTCCTCAATCAGCTTACGCACAGCATCAACGTTTTCTTGGGTGACTGCAGTTTTTGGACGACCTTGATGGGGATCATCACTGAGCTTGACACGTCCACGTTGAAATTCAGCAAACCAGCGATAAATTGTGGTTTTGGATGGGGCTTCATCACGAAATGCAGAAATCATCCGGTCAACACACTGTTTTTGTGTTAAACAACTTCGAAAGTCATAATAAATCATTGCTCTTGAATTTTCTCGAGTCAATTCCATTTTCTCAACGACTAAACAAGTTCGACAAAACCTTGTGACAAGACCGAGAATTTTATTTTAAATAAATAAATGGTATTCGATTTTTAAAACCAAGGAGTTTTCAATTAAAAAGATTTTAATATGACGGGAACAGTGGAAATATTCCATTACCGATACTTTTAGTGCAGCCTAGGTAGTAACATTTTATTATTATATCACTGGTCTTCGTAGTGTTTTCTTAGTTTGAATTTTTTTTTGCATTTAATTTATTGTGATTACCAACTCTGCTTTATTATATAGGTAAATTACGCAATAAACTCTGCATAGATTTAATTTAATTTTGTTTTACGTGGTAGACCCATGCTTCACCAATATTGTGGCTGCAGCACGAATGGGTTGGCTCGACCGCGGAAGGTCCACAACCTCACAGAATACCAGCGTAAAGTATAAGCTTAATGGTGGTGTGTTTCCTTTGAGTATTCAACCAAGAGAGGCGGCATCGAAAGGCATACCCCTCTGTAAAAGGTACGAGAGTCCGACTCATGACCTTTATATAAAACCAGTTGCTCCGCGTCGTGCTCCATTCCGCAAGTGAACGTGCCAGTCAATCGAGTTCCGACAAAATGCCGAATTGCAGTGTGTTTTCATGTAAAAAACAATCAAAAACGTCAAATCTACAAAAGGACAACGTGACTTTTCATCTGTAAGTATTTTTAACATAATATTAAAGTAATATTATCATTAAAACTTGTACTTTATGAATATTTTCTTCAAATACCAAGTGTTGCCATCATAGTTCATGAAGTGAAAAATAAGCAATTTTTAAATAATCATAATTTTCTACATAAGTTAGATATATTAACGAAATGTATTTCCTAATAACTAAATCAGTGTGTGATGAATATAATTATCACATATAGATATGTAGTGGCTTTTGTCGAATGATTTATATAATATTCAGTTCAATTTTAACACGATTCTAAATATAATATTATGTAAGTCAAACCTGGTTCCACTGAAAATCAGCGTTACGAATTGATGTATTTATATCTTCAATTCGTGACTTAAAGATGAGTGGAGACCATTTTGTGCATATTACATTATTACTTTTTTAAATATTTTTGATAAGATATAAAAAATGTTTACTTAATTTATTATTTTTGTTATAATGTATGTACTAAATAAACTTTTTTTTTCTTTCTTTCTTTCAAATCGAAATTTGACACCTCGTAGCAAAAGTGTGCAATTTTTATAAAAATAAACTGGTATCACTGCAACCGAGAGTACCACAATATAGTGATGTACGCCACAACTTTAGTTATCGATAAGTTAATTAACTATTCGGGTTCGTCTGCCGAACCGGCTTTTAGATTTTATAATAAAGGATTACAAAAAGCAGTAAATTTTTCTATTATTGGTTTGATTTTACAGATTTCCAAGAGATTATCTTAGGCGGCAAACTTGGATTGCCGCTTGTAGAAATCATGAATCTTGGATACCTAAACGGACTAGCACCATTTGCTCCGAACATTTTGCAAAATCATACTTCATACTCCAAGCTAACAATAAAAGAAGGTTAGCCGACACTGCAGTGCCTACCTTGAACTTGTGGGAGGTAATGTTTAGCTGTAATTACATTTAGATTAAATATTTTTGCTATTACCTAGGTGGTAATAGCAAAAATATACACCAATATTATTCCACTTAAAAATATTTTAGAATTTTGATGAGTTTACAAAAGCAATATATATATATATATATATATATATATATATATATATATATATATATGTATGTATATGTATATAGCTTGAGTCTTCTGAGTTACATAAAATTAAATTATTTATTTTAGAGTACAACATCATTTCCATCGAAGAAAAGGAAGCTGGATGTTCCGGAAAATTCCATTAGTTGTCTAGAAAGACACAATTCAAAGCAGATTCCTCATAAAGCCCCAACTAGTCCTACGCCAACTGCAAGTACGAGCCTACACTTAGAAGATACACCAAGGAAAATTAAACTGGAAATTTGCCCAATAGGTACTTTACAAGAAGTATTAATGCCCACTAATAAAAATACTAAAGCATTAATAGCCTCCTCCGAATTGTCAGAAATGAAGTCAAATCTATAATCAACATAACCAATATGTCTTTTAGAACTTACGTGGTATCAGTGTGTACTCCGTCAATAGTTTTATTTTCATTTCATCTATTACTAATAATAATATAGCCTCTTTATTTCCATGATGAATAGAAAAGGAACAAATATATCTTATGATTACGATTACATAATTATGCATGCATAAGAAAATTATACAAGTCATAATTATCAGAATTAATAATTTACAATCGCATAATTTCTAAATTTTATATAAATTTCAAAATATTAAATAAATTAAATTTTTCAGATTAAACAACAAACATTTCAGATTAGTTTACGTACAAAATCCATAACATAATTCATTACGGACCCCTCAATGGGTGAAGGCCTCCTCCATTTTTTCCACATCTGTCTGTCCTTTGCCTAATCACTAATATACAATACAATTTATTGTCAGGGTTACTCTCTGGTCTAAGTTTTAAGGTAGTTTACGCTTTTTTTGTGTAGTCATCTCGCCCATCAATTGTACTGTATTACTTTGTAATAGTACATGGTGAAGGCCGACAAATTTCAAAACTTTTGATATTTCGCACATATCGTAAAGCTTTTCGTGAATAGTAAGTAATGTAAAGTTAAACCAAAACATCTTTATGAAGAAAACTTAGGCCTAGGTAGATGTCCCGTTTTATTTTTAGGCAGATGTCTGTTTAAAGTTCACTTTGTTCAACTATTATATTTTGTAAAACTACTTTATTTTCCTAATTTATTAAATATTTTCCGGACAGTTTATTTAAAAACTCTTGTAAATCAACAACTTTTTTTAAATAGGGTTTTAAGTTTGAAGCTTTATAAAAATTTTCTTTTTACAAATCTGATTTTAAAAATAAGTTAACTAAACCTCCTATTTCGGTTTGTTACATATTTTAAATTGTGTCCTGCGTAATGTAAAATAAACCTGTAGCAAAATAATAAACTTACTTTCAATAATTTCAAAGTTTTTATTCCGAAGATCATTTTTAAATATTAAAAAAAAAGAATTTCAAATAACACCTTGGTATTATTTAACTTCGTATTTCTTATAATCAAATAAAAACTTATACGGACTCTGATGATATTTTTATCGATGGAAATATCGACATCCTCGTCCTCGCCCTACGTTGCTCTACCAGTGAATCGACACGTGTACAATTTGATGGTACATTTGGATGATGGTAAACGCAATGAATACAAACAGAAATGCTGTAGTGTGCGTGTATATAGTGACGTGATTCAATTTTGCATTTGTAGTTAAGTAAGCAGTAGTGTGTTTTCCTCGCGTCCCCCAGATAGTGACGGACTTTTTGTTTAGGTATTAACGCGCATGGCCTCTGTAGTTGGTTGAATACTCAGTGTGTTTCTCGTATGGTGAGTGAAGTAGAGAACCGGAGACCGTTTTTACTGGAAATGTGGCATTCCATCATAGTCTTCAGGGGCGAAAACACATCCGCATTTTGTTTCTTAACCGAGGATAGAGTGCTCGTTTGTCACCTTTATTCTAATAAAAAAAAATCTGGTATTATCATCATCACCGTTTCACAAGCCCACTGCCGAACATAGGCTTCTGAATGTCAGTCCCTATGTTCGGCAGTGGACTATTGACAGACCGTTACGAATTCAATGAATTGACGCATACCATAGCATCCAATAGACTGCCTCGTTGTTCTGGTGGTTCTAGTAGAGTGACTGCTGATCTTGAGGTCCCGGGTTCGAGTCAAGGGTCAGCCAATAAATCAATTATTTAGTTTTTCCATTGAGAAGTTCTCAGTAACTGCCCGCAGTAAGGAAGTTTGCGGTGTCTCACCCCGTGCCTCGGAAAGCGCGTAAAGCCGTTGGTCCTGCGCCTGATCTCTTTGTCGTCGTTTCGGATAATCGTCCCATCGGACTATGAGAGTGAGGGAATAGAGAGTGCACCTGTGCTTGCGCATACCCTCGTGCACTATAATCCTGTCCTGCGCCGATGGCTAGCCTCCGTTGAGGCAGGCCGCCGTGACCGAAATTCGATCTGGAGGACATTATTGTTATACCATCCAACATAGTAGGACGTTACACTGCTTGTATTCAGTTGTGGTTAGGTAAAAATTGAGAGATGAAATTTTTCCAGATTCAAGCATGTCGCTTCAGCGCTTGACAGCGCTTCGAGCGCTGATGGCCAGCCAACCGACGGCTTTAGCAGCATACATTATACCAACCGCCGACGCTCATAACGTAAGTTTCCTTTTTCTTAATTTCAACTAAAAATGAGTTTCAACTCCCGCTAGAAACTCATTTGTACCGTTAAAGTATAAAATATGACTTTCAGTTAGTATTACTTGTCTACTACTACTTGTTTACCTACTAGTAATATATACAATATGTAACGTAATTAACGCACACCCTCAGACACCCCAATTAGTATATTATGTTATAATCATAATACATACACTGAATTTTTAGTTAAACATTTTTATCCACTGATTATTTATCAAATTAGTTATACTAATTCCGTAAGAATGTTGTGGTCACAGTACAAATCCACCAAAGCAAAGACTAACTTGCTTGAAATAAAGTTAATTTTTCTTTATTTTTATTCAATGACAGAATTTTTTTTTTTTTTTTTTTCTAAAAAAAATATTAGTAATCTTATTAATTAACATTACTAATATTCCTTTTAACAACTCCTGGTAAGCTTGAAAATGAGGAGGGTTTAGTAATAATACAAATAAAACTGCAGTCTTAAAAGTCTTATTGCCTTAAGTTACGGTCCATTTCAGTTTATTTTGACTGTACAGATTTAGTGTGACTGTAATTTACGTAGTTTTAATTATTTTTGGGATAAAAAATTACCTATATTAAAAATGATTGGAATCGATTCAGTAAACGATTCTGAACAAACTACTTTCTCAAAGTGCGTTAATTATGTTACGTGTTGTATATTAAAAAAATCTAATTTTATTTTATTCACTTTTACCACGCTGTAACAACCCACTATTTTAAATGTAAATGCATAAATGCTGCTGTTTTTCGTATGGTGAGTGTAGAGAACCGGAGACCCATTTTACTGGGAAAGAGGCATTCCATCTTAGTCCTCACGGGTGACAACGCATCTGCCTTTTGATTCGTAATCAAGGATAGATGTCTATGGGCCACAGCAACCACTTACCATCGGGTGGACTGTGTGCTCGTTTGTTACCCTGTCCTATTTAAAAAAAATACGTGTGGCACTCGGTGACTGCCGCGGTAAAGCTATTGCATAGCATTTTTTATCAACTTATGCAATTATAATTATTTATTTTATTTTATTTATGCAGTTAAGTCTTTGATATTAAATCAAGTTACACTTTTTGAGCGTGGTGACCGATAAGAAAACAATTTTTTTTTCTCTTATTGAATAAATGAGAAGTTAATATTGTTTAAAATATTTTTAATATCTTACAATACATGTAGGTTATTCAGGAATTTTTATCATTGAGTTAGCAGCTAGTGTACACGCATACGTCTAGTCGCACGCACACAAACACCGTGCCGAAGTCTGCCGAGTGCCGAACTCTGCCGAACTGAAACGACGTTAGACGATGCACGGCTTTCAACGCCACACCTCCGTGCCCGTCGGAGTGGGGAGCGTGAGGTTTTTTTTCGTTACGGAATTTCTGGATTCGGTCCCCGCGCTCAAGGCCCGCGATAGAAGCTATGCAATAGCTTAAAAGTTGCTTCTTTGTGGAATCGACTACCACCAGTGATTTTTCCGGACCAATACGACTTTATACCTTCAAGAAAAGAGCCTACTCCTTTTTAAAGGCCGGCAACATCATCTGCAATTCCCCTGGTGTTGCGGTTGATCATGGGCGGCGGTAATCACTTACCATCAGGTGAGCCGCATGCTCGTTTGCCTCTTTTTATATAAAAAAAAATACTTCGTTCTCAGTCGGAGTATATAGCGTCGGCGGACGCCCGCCGGGAATGGATAACGGGGTTCACGGGCTCTGCTGGCACGGCTGTGGTCACCGCCGCACAAGCTCTGGTTTGGACGGACGGACGCTACTACACTCAGTTCGAGAAAGAGGCGGATACCAAGCTCTGGACACTTATGAAGCAATGTAAGCTCTTATTTTTTTTTTAAGTTATTTGGTTTTCTTGAGTAATTCTAGTTGCCGTTGTTCGTCATGTGGGTGACGTAGGAGGAGACTAATTCAAATACGAGAGACACGACTTTCGATAGATAGCGATATGACTATCTCGTTTACACCAGACGTAAAATACCAGGCGGTCCCATAATGAACTGGCCTGATATAGTTCAACGCGACATGTCGCTACATGTTGTGTTGCATTAAATAGTACGTATATCGTGCACTTAATATAAAAAACATGCATCGACATGAAATGCTTAGTCTTAGTTTAACAGGCATTTAAATAACGAGAGTCGCGTATTTTTTCAAAATGTCGAAAACTGAGTATCGAAGTGTCATAAAGTTTCTGTTTAAAGAAGTTTTATCCCCTGCCCAAATAAAAGAACGATTGGATGGCGTGTATAACGAGTCTGCCCCCTCCTATAGCACAGTGAAAAATTGGGTGAAAGAGTTTCACCTCGGGAGAGAAACCGTCGAAGACTTTGGCCACGACGGTCGACCTGTGGAAGTGCTCACTCCCGAAACGATTGCTCTTATCGAAGAGGAGGTTCTGAATGACCGCCGTTTGAAGATTAGAGAAATTGCAGCAAGGCTTGGGCTCTCTAAGAGTACCGTTCATCGCGCGATTCATGAACATCTTCACATGAAAAAGGTGAGTGCAAGATGGGTACCGAAACTTCTTTCAGCGGTACAGAGACAGGAAAGAGTGCGCTGCGCTTCGGAGTTTTTGGATCTTTGTGGCGAAAATCCAAAGACTGTGATCGAGCGGCTAGTGACTGGTGATGAAACTATGATCTTGTATTATGATCCACAAAGCAAGCGCGAGTCAATGGAATGGCGTTATAAGGGTGAAAAGCCCCTTAGAAAGGCAAAGGTGCAACAACCGACTAAAAAACTGATGTGCACAATATTTTGGGATTTTCAAGGCATTTTGATGGTGGATTTTAAAGAACGTAATACAGTCGTGAACGGCGAATATTATGCTTCTTTAATATATAAATTACGAGACAAGATAAAGGAAAAACGAAGAGGCAAGCTGTCTAAAGGTGTCCTGTTGCTCCATGACAAAGCCCCTGTTCATAACGCTGGTGTTTCGAAGGATGCAGTTCGTCAATGCGGGTTCACAGAAGTTCAACATCCACCTTACAGTCCAGACATGGCCCCGTTCGACTATTATTTATTTGCAAATTTAAAGCGGGACTTAAGAGGTAGAAAATTTTCAAGCGATGATGAGTTGCAGGCGGCCGTCTTCAGTCATTTTGAGGATAAAAAATGTGATTATTTTTATAAAGGTTTAGAGATGTTGATTCACAGATGTCAGAAGTGTGTTAGTATTCATGGTGATTATATTGAAAAATAAAATTGGTTTCGTTTCATTCCCTTCATTGGTTCATAGTTGTTGATTGTCGTCTGCTATGGGACTACTATTGTTCATCCCATGCAGGTTTCGGGCCTCGGGGAAACCCCCATTACCCGGGTTATCCTCACTGCTCATGACAATGAGCCGGTCTTGGGAGCCGTACGGCATCGTTGGCTTTCTTGGTTGGCGTATTGCGCGCCACCAGGTCGGTGCTACCGGAGGGTCGGCCGTCTCGAAGCCCCGCGGAGTCCCGAGGATGGGAGTCAACGCAGGGCCAATCTTGCCGACAGGAGGGCGTTTCAGCTGCTCCGGACCTCCAGTGCTCCTTCCTGGCTCTAGATGAAGGCCTGGCACTCCTAGGCAAAAAAGCTGGCGTATCTCGCGCCTCTGGGAAGGGAATCTGCCGAAGGGTCAGCAACCTCAAAGTCCCGCGGAGAGTACCTCGACGCGGAGCCGAAGTCACCAACAGGCGCGCGCACTTGGGCGCGCCGGGCCTTCGGAGTTCGCTTCCCAGCATGTAGGTGATGCGCAGCGTTAGGTAATCTTCATCCTGGGCGGGGTAGGGGCGTCCTCAAGGCTCGACGCAAGCCGAGTTGGCCCCACAGCGCGCGCACCCACTGCGAAGCGGCGCGCTGTACTTCCCCCACCCGGGCGGGAGTCGACGACCGGCGGACGTGACCGCTCGTTGGCGCGGTCCGGACGAGACTCGATTGGTTCATAGTTAGGCCAATTCATTATGGGACCGCCTACGTACCTTACGTGGTAGAGCCACGCTGCAGCTATATTATGGTTGTATCGCTGACTCGACCGGGGAAGGGCTACGCTCTCACAGAATACGAGCGTAAAATAGCAGCTTAAGAGGATACCTTGAAATTAATAATAGCGTGGCTTATTGCTTTGTCCGTGAAGCTCACGGACGACTACGGGAGTGTCAAAATGAAAGTGATGCAATGACTTCTTTATACGCAAATTATGAGATAGCTATACCGAGCACACGCTCGGAAAGAAACTAAGTAAGCGCCAAACAACATTTTTTTTTAACAAAACTTCGTTATGGATTAAAAAAAATGTAACTTAGATATGATTATTTACTATGCCTACTATGATCGATAAAACAAATTATTTAGTAAACCATTTCGTAAATTTCAAATCGTTGACGAAAACGCAATTCTATTCCATGTTAGATAAGCTTCGTCCTTCAAGCCGTCTTCAAACCAGTTGTAACGACGATCGTTTTCTGCAACCGTTTTCGTCGTCGCGAAAACGGTTTGCTTTTCATTCGTCAAAATTCGACAACGGCCCATCATTATTGTTTTCTAGACCTAACTTCAGTCATCACATGTTGCCTGTTTCTAAATCTGGCCCCATATTGTATTCACTATATCATTTATAGCACTACCAGAAACGCTGACGATGGAGAAGTGGCTCGCAGCGAACCTAGTAGCGGGGTCGGTGGTGGGCGCAGATCCGCACACCATGAGCAGGGAGGAGTGGAGTCCTTTGCGGGTAATTTAAGTATTAAATATATTAATATTAAATATAAATGAGGCGTGGTAGCTCAGATGGTTAGCGCTCGCTGTAAATTTCATAATACGCGAGCGAACCGGGTTCGATCCCCGCCGGCACCAATGAAATTGTTAATTGCAATTTTAAGTGCTGATTTACCACGTGCTCGGCGGTGAAGGAAAACATCGTGAGGAAACCTGCATGTCTGAGAAATAAGAAAAAAATATTTCGAAGACATGTGAAGTTCGCCGACACGCATTGGGACAGCGCGGCGGACTATTCCTTGCCCTAAAACCCTCTCAGAAATTAGAGGAGGCCTGTGCCCAGCAGTGGGACGTATATAGGCTGTAACTTTACTTTTTTTATATCTTAATATATATAAATTACGTGTCACGTTGTTTGTCCGCGATGGACTCCTAAACTACTTAATCGATTTTAATCAAATTTGCACACCGTGTCCAGTTTGGTGCAACTTGAAAGATAGGATAGTTTTTTTTTGCCCTTGAGTCCCCCACAGTTTTTTTTTGCGAATTTAAAGATTTTTCATAGGACATGACAAAGGATCGTCGAAAAGGGCAGAACAACGTCTGCCTGGCAAGCTAGTAGTATATATTTATATATATTACTATATATATATATATATATATATATATATATATATATATATATATATACACAGATGGAGCTAAAAAAGTTTAACTTCAGTCGTGTGATCATAAGCACACTCGTTTTTTATTAAATATGCTTTATACCACAAGGATGGTCCCATTAAATTTTGAAGAAAAAAATCCGCCTCCAAGGGTGAAAGTTAGGGGAAAAGATTCATATTGGACTATTGTTTAAGGAATTTCATATGATATCTTCGCAGATAAAGAACCGATTTTAATTAATCCCTTTTTTTTCTAAAATAACACATTTCAAGAGTGATTCCACCCCTAAGGGTTGCAAATAACTTATTTTTTAGCAATTTGAAGTCGGGTATTGCTTTCTTGTTAAAAGTTATCATCTTGTTAAAGTTGCTACAACTATAACGCAATAAGAAACGGGAAATAGTTACATCTACCCACCAAAATAAACAGAACGTAACCACTTTGCGACATTTATGCAGACTACCCTCAAAAAGGCTAAAATGGAGCTGATCGCGGTGCCCAACAACCTGGTGGATGAAGTGAGGATCCAATTGAAGGATCCGCCACCGGCCAGACCTCATAACGAGATCGTTCCGCTGCCTGTTAAATATACTGGTGAGTGTGTGTTAACGGTTAATTTTTAACACGTATATCTCGAGATCAAATGATATCTATTCTATAATGATATAATGTATTCTGGTATTAAATTAATTATATTTCTATGCATGCTTATTTATAGACTAAGGGTGACAAACGAGCACACGGTCCACCTGATGGTAAGTGGTTGCTGTGGACTACATAATCAAAATGAGGACCCCTGAGGTGTAAGGTGGAATGCCTCGTTTTTAGTAAAAAAGGGTCTCCGGTTCTCCACACTCACCATACGAAACACAGCAGAATTTAGCTGCTATTTCACGTCAGTATTCTGTGAGAGCGTTGTCTTATCCCGGTCGAGCCGACCTATTCGTGCTTCTGTCTAAAATATAACGGAATCTGTACTAAGTAATAATAATAATTAATAATCTGTACTAATATATTTCTTCATTCATTCGAGATCGAGGCGATTTCATTCGATGTTTAATTATAATATGCAATAAGAACTGATAAGTTTTTTTTTTAAATCAAAATACCAGGTTTTGAAAATGTTTAGAGCGAATTTTTTTTAATGTGTAAAAATTTATGTTATTTCTATTTTCCTATGTAATATACCATAATTATTTTTGTCAGTTCTTACTTCTCTCTGTAACAAATTTAATTTCAATTTTAGGTAAGACTGCTGGTAAGAAGATAGAACAGCTAAGAGTGAAGCTGAAAGAGAAGAAGGCGTCCGCTCTTGTTTTAACTGCACTGGATGAAGTTGCGTGTAAGTTGGTTTTCTCTAATACGTCTTCTTTGTTACATATTTTACCACCCACATGGGCTAGATGGGCTTGTGCTGTGGTATGGAGGGTTTATCATAATCGCTTTTATAATCGTGCTGCGATATGGTGGAGTTGCCAAAACTGAAACGTGGTAAAAATGGTATACCATTTTGAATTATAACTGTTCATTGTCACCACCAGCCAACTAGATATGACAACTATGTTGACTCCTCCGTGGTGCAGTGGCTTAGCAACGAGTTGCAGCGCTAAGGGCTGTGGGTTCGAATCCCGCACGGAACAAGTATTTGTATGGTGTACAAATAGTTGTTGCCATGCAAATAGAGGTATCATAGATGCATCAACGTCCCGGCGTGTAAACATTAGCGCTCTTAAAAAGAAGTATAATTCCGCCTCGAGGTCCTTCAAAGAGTAATTGCCAAGGTAAGGTCAGAGCACATCGACGGAATTGGCAAGTAACTAGTTCGCCTTCCTTTGAGAATGTGCATTCTGGTCTCTTGCCAAGGCTGGCCAAGGGAGTTTCTGTCAGCCATATCTTTACAGGGAGGATGGCTCATTGACTCCAACTGAAAGCCGAAGAAAGCCGACCTTTTTAGGTTCTCTTTTTGCGTCCAACTCTACTCTCGATGACGGAAAACACACTGACGGCCATTCAGCGTTGTGAGTGCTTTATATGAATATATGTAGTATGTATGATCCAGAGCCGGAACAAGCATTTGTATGGTCTACAATATTTGTTCCGAAGAATATTACTAGATGGATTTTAGGGATCAATTGGTCTGATCAGCAATGTACTATATACGTTAAGTGATGTTGGCTGAACAAATTGAATATTTCATTTAACACCAAAAAGTAAAACATCAAAGAAGAGAACGAAAGAAAGTAAACATTTATTGCAAACATGTTACACACATATACTTAGTCAGGTCATAAGTTCTGTCAAAAACTTTTTATAACATTAATGATATACTTTTTGATAAATATACAGAAATTATATATGAAATGAAAGGTAATTTAATTTAGAATACAATTTTTATTTACATTATTCAAAATGCCCTTCCCTATTTAGAATACATGCGCTTAATCGACGCGGCCAATCATCAATCGCAGCACGCACCACACTCATATCTATTTCTGCCGCTGCTTTAGCCAAAGATGCTCGGAGAGATTTCAAATTCGGATGAGGTTTAGCGCAGACTTTCTCCTCCAAATGTTGCCATATCTTACAATCCAGTGGGCTTAAATCTGGACTAGAAGAGGGCCAGTCTTCATGTCCGATAAAGACAAGTCCATGGGTGGTCAACCAGTTATACGTGCTTCGTGTCCCATGAGCTGGTGCAGAGTCCTGTTGGAATATCCAATGTCTGTTTTTGAACATTGTTTGAGCAAGAGCTTCCACTATGTTTGTTAAGACAGTATTTTTGTACACCTCGGCTCCGGTTTTTACACCTTTTTTATAGAAAAATACCTCAGTTAAGCCTGAATGGGAGACTCCAAGCCAAACCATGAATGACGAAGGATAATGTGCTCGTTGAACCCTCGAAATACGCGTGCTGGCTTCTTCACTACTGTGGGCATACACCTTTCTATTTTGTTTATTATAACTTTCTTCGATGTTAAAAGTTTTTTCATCCGAAAACAACATTTCGCTGTATTTTTTTCCCGCGTACCGCCGTGACAAAGTGCGGGATCTATCCAGCCTTTTTTTTTTCAAACGATTGTCCAAAAAATGTCCGGCTTTCTTACGATAAGCTCGTAGTGTTAGATCTTCATTGATCACTCTTTTGACCGTAGTTCTGCTTAGGCCCATGTGAAGAGCTAAGATTTTTTATTTACCAACAGGATTTCGTTGGATTCGCGCTTTCACTGCTTTGATGATCGCGGGTGTCCTAACTATACGAGGTCGGCCGGTCCTCTTACGATCATCGAAGCTTGAATCTTCAGTAAATCGTTTGACAGTGCGATAAACAAATTGTATGGTTATTTTCAATTTTTGTAGAATATAGAAACTCTATCTTCTTTCTTCGACCACTCCATATTTGAAAATGAATGAAAATTAATGTCTCTTTTATTTTCGGCAAGCGCAAACGTTATATTTTTAAAATTGGTTAAGTTCATCTAGGCAGTACCTATTCAAAAATTTTAAATAACAAGATTTTGACAGAACTTATGACCCGACTAAGTATTAGGCACTTAAATTTAAATATTTGTACACATGACAATACAAAGAAAAACAAAATGCAACAACCTGACCAATAAATTCAACAAAAGTAGTCCCGTCATTATAGACATTCGGTGATACATAATGTTACAATGCGCTGATAATCGGTAAAATTGTTCAAAATATAATTATAAATAAATTTTTTGAGTTCCTCGCCATTCCTGTGTATGGAAAAAATTTTACTCAAGGTTATAAGTAAAAAAAAAATGAGTCGCGATTTTCAGCAAAACGGTAAATTTTATTATAAAAATATCCCGGATAAAAGTTGTAAATCATAAAATTATCTACAAAAAATGTATCAATACTTTCTTTACTACGAGCCACTGGAACGATTAAAAAGTTGTACAAGTTTTACCTCAACGGAGACTAGCCATCGGCGCAGGACATGATTATAGTGCCCAAGTGTATGCGCAAGCACAGGTGCACTCTCTATTCCCTCACTCTCATAATCCGATGGGACGGTAAACCGACGGTACCGGAGGGAGATCAGGCGCAGGACCAACGGCTTTACGTGCTTTCCGAGGCACGGGGGTGAGACACCGCCAACTTCCTGACTCCGGGCAGCTACTGAGAATTTATTGACAGAAAAACCAATATTAATTTTTGCTCAAATCATAAATTGAATATATAAATTTATTTATTCTTCTAATAATATAACTCGTCCTAATTTAAAACTATATTCCCACAATTATTTCTCTAGTCTCCTATATATATTCATTTACAGACACACTCAATCTACGGGGCAGCGATATCCAGTACAACCCAGTCTTCTTCTCTTACCTGGTGATCACTGAGGACTCGGTTAAGCTGTTCTGGGGCGATGGAGAACTTCCTGAGACGGTGCTGGAGCACCTGAGTTCCGAGGAGGCGCAGGTCGAAGGGTGTCCGTATGACAGTATCGTGGCATACTTGAATGGTTTGGCTGTAAGTACTTAGTTGTACTGGGTGGTAGGATAGGAGTCTATATGGATAGGTACCATCCTTTTAACTGGTACTTTATTTGTGGTAATCATGGTGCTGCTATAATTATGTTTGTAGCACGAATGGGTCGGCTCGACCGGGGAGGAATCATGCTCTCACAGAATACCAGTGTAAAATAGCAGCTTCATGCTGCTGTATATGATATGGTGAGCGTAGATATCTGGAGACTCTTTTTACTGGAAACCGAGGCGTTCCATCTTAGTCCCTAGGGATGATTCTTAATCGATGATAGATGTAGATGTCTACGGTTATATTAGTATCTACTTACCATCAGGTGGACTGTGTGCTCGCTGGTCACCCTTATTCTATAAAAAATAATATTTCAGACGTGGTTATATTTTATACGTGTTAGAACTATATTATGGCATGTAGCACGAATGGGTCGGTTTAAGATTTATCATCATCATTACAGCCCTACACGAGCCCACTGCATCCATCGACTTCCTGCATGTCTCACCAGGTCGAATAAATTTAATTTTAGGTTTATATTAAATTAAATTTAAAAATATAGTTGTGTGTCTTAATAAAGATATTAATAGTTACTTAGCAACCATCCGCAATCAATCAATAAACCAGTTAGGTAATCTAAATTAAGTCAATGGTGGAAAATTCGTTCCGTTATGGATTGCCAGTATACTGCTACCTATGGATACCTACCATATGACGTCATAAATCACCGCCATTTTGTACTGTGAGCACTGCTGCTTGCGAGGTAAAGTGCTCTTAATACGATGATATATATATATATATATATATATATATATATATATATATATATATTTTATATATATGTATATGTATATATTTGGAAAGAAAAGTTATCTTCTTTTTATGTTAATGGCCACATTCACATTGACACTAAAACAAAATGGTTGATTTTCAACTTACGGCTATGGAGGGTAGAGGTATCTGTACTAAGCATAGTATGTAACTGCGCACGCAAGTAAAATAAATAAAACTTTCTATAATTTTATTATCAAAAAATTTATATTACGTGAAACTTTTTGAAGTTAATGTTAATCTAATAGTAGTAATATAACAGAAAATTAATAAAATGAAATTCAGTATCATTTATTCACAATTAATTTGAAAATTTTAATACAATTTTAAATATTAAAATTTAGTCGTGTCTTGCAAACGCACACAAGATACGTTATAGTGACCTATCATCCGTACCATGCTACAACACAAAGACTACAACTGTTTTTTTTCTTCTAGAAAGATCTATCGGAAGGCGACGATGGAGCCCATTCGATCTGGTTGTCGAGCGATGCGAGCGAAGCTGTACATCGCGCAGCGTCCGGGGTAAGAAACTGAATAAGACCTTTAACATTGATTAAAACTACTTTTAAGGGTTTTATTGCGTTTAATTTCTTGATTTTTAATTCCGGTTTTTGTGTTTAGTGTTGAGCCTTTTAATAGTTTGCGAGGGTCGGCTCGACCAGGTGGTGGTGACTGAGGCTTCCATGGCATCTGTGGTTACCCATGGTCACGGGGGACTGAGGTGACTGACGTCCCGATGTCATTGATAAACCCGGAGTACACCTTCAGCTTTTTTAATTATTGTTTATGGTACGGCATTAAAAATAAAAATAATTAAAATTAAACGCGATAAAATCCTTAAAAGTAGTTTTAATTAATGTGTAGTGTTCGTGTAAATATAGGAAATCATTAAGACCTTTAACAGTTTTCAATGGAATTTATGAAAATAGAACTTTTGGTGATTTAACGTAGTGATTATATACCCTTTGACAGTGACGCGAAATGTTTGCAAATGATTGATGCATGTGTGCATGAGTGTGTTTTTTACAAAGAGCGAGCACAGGTGCATTCTCGTTTCCCTTGCTTTCTGAGCCGATGGGACGACAACCCGAAAAAACCGGAAATAGATCAGGCGCAGGAATAACGGCTTTACGTGCTTTCCGAGGCACGGGGGCACGGTAATATTATCTATACAGTATTGTAACTCGGCCGTATCTTTGAAATAAATGCCTACAGCCGCGCGGTACGTAAACATGCGATAGGGCTGCCTGCCTCCAGCATTTTTACATTGAGAAGTAAGAGAATTGAGAGCCTACTTTGTGTTTCCATTTAGTTTTATGATTGTAAATATACTTTTTTGTATAAAAAAATATAATAGGTACTTTGTGAATTGAATAGGAAGTGTTTAATAAAATGCATATCGTTTTTTGATGGGTAGATTTAATTAAAAAACAATGTTTATGTTTGAATAGCAAATCGTCTTATAAATTCGCGAACGAAAAATATTTACGCCTCGGCTGAGACGTACAAAATGCTTTATTATTAAATTTTTAAGTATGAAAAATCCGCATTCTAATATAAAACTTAATTAAAATTTGTTTTGGGAAACATGGACAAGGAGGAGAAAAGGAATATCTTTTACTTGGTTATAGATACCTGCAGCTACTTTACAATTTATATGTTTGGTTTTAAATGAAGTTCGGATTTATGATTTCTTTATTTCTATTCTATTATTTATTTCCTCCATTTTTTTATATATTCCACAAAATCGTCACTGCGGCACAGTCTCGACTGTCTGCATACCGAGCGCATGCCGAGATCGAGGCGCGTAGGCATAGCTCTCGCTTCGTCCGTTTGTATGGAGTTGGAATACTGTATAGATAAAATTACCGTGACGGGGGTGAGACACCGCCAACTTCCTAACATTGGGCTGTTACTATTTACTTTGAATTAACAAGATAACTCAATAAATGGCTTTAGCCCGACCCGGGATTTAAAAAAAAATTAAGTGACAAACGAACTTGGAGTCCCCTGATGGTAAGAGGCTACTGCAGTCCCTGGACACCTGCAGCCAACTTCAAACTAGACATGTGTCAATCATTCATTTCTCGTGACCGAATCATTCTAGTACATTTCGTCACGCGTATCGGTACATTTGGATCGATCATTCAAATAGATCATTGCGGGCTCCAGTACCCTACTCTAAAAACAATTCATTCAGATCATTCGATATTCGGTTGGTTTTCGACTCATTCACAATTCACACCGATCACGAGTTAAAAAAATTCCGTCATTTGTTTGTGATTGGTTGTACCGGAACATTCACAAACAGATGAATGAACCATCAATACTTTTAAGTGTACCAGCTCAAACGAACGATACATTCAAGATTCACACATGTCTTTGTTCACTTAGGAAACATGAATAAAATAGGCGACTCACACGATAGGCAAATTGTTTATTTAAATAATCAAAGTATAAACTAAATTGGTGGTGATCGAGTCGCGAGCTATGGGCGAGTGACGGTCTTAGGCGCGGTGGTGAGAAAAACCCCCCGCGCTTCTCGTACTCCCCGCGAACACCGTCGGTGCTGTCGTAACGGCGCCGACAGTCCTCTTCAAACCAAGAAGGTTACAGATATGTTTTCACCTTCGAGGACCAAGATGTAATGCCTCACAAACTGTAACTATTCAGGCTCTATACCCTCAGACCGGTACACAGAAGTGAGAAATAGGTAAGATGATGCTATTTACTCTGACGGACGCCTAGACATGAAAGGAGTCCCTATCGCGTAGTACAGGGAGTAGTAAAAAAACTACGGAATTAATTTTAATAAAAACTAATAGTGAATGACCTTTTTTACCGTCTGGAATAAATTGGGTGTAACATGTAAACAGAGTAGAGCCTATGACACTGCCCAGAGCCTATGGCACTGATATTTTATAAAAAATAAAAACAAAAATTTTGAATTAAATAAAGAAATTATTTAAAATCTATGGAAATTGATTATAAAAGACCTTTTTTTACCGTCTGGAAAAATAGGGTGTGAAATGTAAACGGAGTAGAAGCATATGACACAGATATTTTATAAAAAATAAAAACAAAATTTTGAAAATAGGATTTTAAGAATAAATAAATTATAATCTATCGAAATTCAAATCATATCCACCCTACTTAACAGCAATAAAACAATAAATTTAGTAAGCATCGTTGACCTTGTCACTTCGCAGGGTCACAGGCTCAAGGGCAAGGGGTTCTTCAAGCGTTTAATTCAAATTTTTTGTTTTTATTTTTTTGTACAATATGAGCGCCATCGGCTTCTACTCCGTTCACATGTTACACCCTATTTTTTCTAGACGGTAAAAAAGTCATCCAGTATAATCTTAAATATTTATTATACAATTAAGCATCGAATCATTATTTCTGTTCGACATATTACGCCTGACAAAAATGTTTACTAAAGTGCAAACGAAGTCATCTACAGATATCTTTAGATAGTTTTAGTTTACGACGGACTATTTTCTGTAACTCACAAGTATAAGCGTGTATTTAACGTGCACAGACATCCTTTTAAATACAGATATTTACCTCAAATCGTTGAGATTTAAATAGTTAAGAGCCTTCTTCATATTCGTCTATGAATGAGAAGTACTTACTTCTCAGAGACAAGGGAGGGTTATCACTACAGGGTTCCACTTTCAGTGCGTATCCGTTTGTGGAATTAAGCAAAATTAAGAAGAGTGACTGTTTCCTTAGTCTAGTTAACTTCTGACTTCGAAATACGGTTTTACCAAATTAATAATTTATATTTTCTTTTAGGAAAGTGCGCTGAAGAAACCGCTCGATTTAATATCTGAGGTGTCTCCAGTCGCGTTGGCGAAAATGATCAAAAATGAGGTGGAGTTGAAGGTAAGTTACAAAGGTTTATAATAAACATGGTCCACCTCATTTTTTTATAGAATAAGGGTGACAAACGAGTACACAGTCCACCTGATGGTAAGTGGATGCTGTGGCTCATAGACATCTACGTTTATCTTCAATTAACAATCAAAATGCATATGTGTTGCCAGCCCTGGGGACTGAGATGGAATGCCTCGTTTTCAGCAAAAAGTGTCTTCGGTTCTCTACACTCAACATACGAAACACAGCAGCATTAAGCTGCTCTTTTATGCTGGTATTCTGTGAGAGCGTGTTACTTCCCTGGTCGAGCCGACCCATTCGTGCTACAACCATAATATAGCCGCGGCGTGGCGCTACCACGTATAAAATATCACATAACGTCAGGTGGGGTAGTACTGGCCACTGGATTAGAATAGTAAAAAATAAACCTTTCTTACCCATCGGTTGACGGTTTACGAGCTATATGACCGGCCCATCGACACTTTAACTTACTGATCCGACAGTTTGCTGTGGACTAGTGAAGGGATGAGCTTCCACTCTATAACCTTTCTTCCCCATCGGTTTGCAGTTCTTCGAGAATAAGGAACTTCAGTAATGATGATAATGATGATGAAATATCTACTCTAATAACCAAGGCGCGCTAATATTACAGTACAGCCTTAGTATAACGAACCTAATATTAATGATTTCCTAGATTTAACAAATTCTTAGAAATCACCTAGAACTGGCCGCAAGAGTTAATGCAAAATATATCTTTATCTTACAAATACCTTTTGTCACTTTCACTTTGTTCATTTTGTAACAGTTTTTCAATAATTTAAAAACATAAATAGAAAGTATAATTATTATTAACCTCTGCATAAAGTTTTCTACCAATCCATTAACAAGAAATTTGGCCTGTGTTCCGAAATAGAACCCAGTATACTGGCCAATGCAAATTACGTCATAAATCGACGTCACACCATACTGGTGATTCATTTCAAAACATTGGTCAATATATGACATTATACATGCTCTTGACCACTCTTCCTCAGTAACAAAAAATGGGTATGATTACTCATTCTCTTCATCTACAGATTTAACAATTTAACAAGGTGACAAACGAGCACACAGTCCACCTGATGGTAAGTGGATGCTGGCTCACAGACATCTACATTTAAGCTCGAATAAGAATCAAAATGCAGATGCGTTGTCTCCCTTGAGGACTAAGATGGAATGCCTCAATACCAGTAAAACTGTTCTCCGGATCTCTACACTCACCATAAGAAACTTAGCAGCATTAAGCTGCTATTTTACGTTGGTATTCTGTGAAAGCGTGGTCCTTCACCGATCACCGATCGAGCCGACCCATTCATGCTACAACCATAATATAGATGCAGCGTAGCAGGCATAAATCTAGTGGGGGGCCACCCTAAACTTAGTCTACCGGTACGAGGTTGCCACTCTTACCCATCGGTTAACTTACTGATCCGTTGGGCTATGTTGGTTATTCTAGTTCTACTGCAGATACAATAGTTGAAAATTCTATCACGCAGAGAAACTCCGAGCATATCCCTCTTCATGGCTCAGCATCGCCAAATAGCAGTGGCGGCACTGCTGAGTTCCGGTCTGAAGAATGTAGAGAGACAGTTTTAACCTCTCGGTCCCCAAGCGGTCGAATCCGACCGCGGCGCTATTCCCTCAAAATCCAAGCGGTCGGATTCGACCGCGCACACCCACAGCACTTTAAATCATTAAAACTTATATTTAGAGAAGAAAGAAACATAGAATCAATATGAAATTTTCTATCCTCTAGTGCAATAAAAAGTCAAGTTATCCTATGGATATTTCTTTATAATCTACGTTGATTTCGTACGCCATTTTCCGCGTGAATATAAAATTATATATATATATATATATATATATATATATATATATATATATATATACACATATACATACACATTTTCTAGTAAGTGTTATAGTATAGTTTTAAAGTTTTTGTGTGAATATAATAAATAATTTCGAGTAGTATATATAGAAATAATTGTGATTTTCACGCTGCCGACATTCGCTTGGTATGTTTTATTTTTTGTTATCAAAATACAATAGTCTTTTTGTAATGAAGTAAAACCTGACTTTTATATAGAAAATTTTGTATAGATTTTATAATGCCAAACTTCTTCACAGAAAAGTAGTCTCTAAATATAAGTTTTAATGGTTTGAAGTGCTGCGGTTGGGTGCGGTCGCATGTGACCGCTCGGGATTTACCGGGCGCATGCGACAGCATGGGCATTTTATTGGGATTGAGGGGTTCTTGGGGGGGGGGTTTGGTTCTTTGTTTAAAATTGATAGCAGAGGCTACAGTTACTATCAGTTTAATTTTATAGAAGAGGAGTAAACGAGCATACGGCTCATCTGATGGTAAGTGTCGACTGGACTGGTGGACTGGACGTGCATTTATAACTTAAGTTTAACATAAAATAAATGCTTTTCAGGGCTTCCGCAACTGTCACATAAAGGATGGCATAGCGGTGGTGCGTTTCTTTAGATGGCTGCATGAGCAAGTCGACAGTGGCGGCACCATCACGGAAATTGAGGCGGCTGACAAACTGCTGGAATTCCGCACGTAATGCTACTTTGATTACTTAGGTCTATAAGCTTGTTCCAGCTGGACATTGGATATTTGACGTTAAAGTAAGTAAACAATAACTGATTTTTTGGACGTTTCGGGATTCGAACCCGGAACCACGTAATCAGCAGTCATGCTTACGAAAACTGGACCAACGAGGCAGTCAACATGACATTATGTATTTAAGCCGTCGTAGTAAGTGCTCGCCGAAAATTCTCTCGGTACGCAAGCAAATCGAATTCGATCCCATAACCACTAAAACTGTTGTAGTATTTTCATCTCACGATAGCGGGCTGGTCTCACTTGTCAGTGTAAGTGTACATGCACATTATTATAGTGTGCGTACGTTTGAGAGTCAAAAATCATTTTCAAGTACCGTTAGAACGGACAAGTTGTCCGCAGCGAAGCGTTAATTTGATTGTAACGTGGGCATGTCGATCTGAGAATCTGAGATTAATCGAAGAATCGATCCAATTAGTCGATATTTCACCCTAAAAAAACGAGATCGAATATTTTTCTCTTTTCATAATAACTATATAATTATTTAAAATTTGTTGAATGTACCCAAACTCGTAAAGAACGACAGTTTTCTAAAAACTAGCAAAACTGCTGTGTGCTCAGTTCTTGTCGCCTCTTTTTAATGAATTAAATAAATAAAAAATAAGTTTAAATAATTACTAATAACTTTGTATGAATCTGAAAGCAAATCTAAAAAAGATCGATTTCTGAGAAATCGATCTTTTAGACCTCGATTTTTGTGTGAATCGATTCATCACATTTCTATTCATATTGAATTGAAAATCGATTTTTTTCGGAAAGAATCGACATTCCTATTGTAACGTTCAGTTATGTGTTTTCAATAATGTATTGTTTATTTTAAGCACGTGTGCACGTGTGTGCGTACGTGCGTGTATGTATGTGTGATTGCAGTCGACCGATCTTTTTACTATTCTAAGCTGGCGCTAAACTACTATACCACCTGATGGTAAGTGGTGATCCAGCCGAAGATGGTGAAGCGCACTAACTTTTTTGCCTCTTACCTTGAAGACTTGAATCTTGTTGACTTGTAATCGGATGGAAAGACGGATGCTGGCAACTTATTCCACTCCTTTGCTAAACGTATGACAATGAGATAGCAAACCGTTTGGTTCGAATGTGTGGTAAGTCGACAACGGAAGGGGTGGAGACTGGCGAACGTCTGGTTGTCCGATGGTGGAAGGGAGAGGGAGGAATTAAGTTATGTAATTCCTGCGCACACTCTCCGAAATGCATCCTATAGTAAACCGAAAGGGTGGTCGAATAATTGTACTATTTTACTTCTTTCTCCTTAACATATTTCACCTGTCAAGCGGCAATGTGTGCACTAATCTGTTTCGGACTGAAGGGTATAGAGAGATAGTTAAGTTACAGCCTATATACGTCCCACTGCTGGGCACAGGCCTCCCCTGATTTCTGTGAGGCTTTTAGGGCAAAGAATTGACAATGCGTGTTGGCGAACTTCACGTGTATTTTTTTTTTCTTATAGCGACAGTCCTGGCTTGTAATTACAGGCGTAGATGCATTCTATTTATTTTCATGCATTTCTTTATTAGAAGTTGTTTGCATTTGTTTATGGGTTGTAGTATGAACTATTAGTTTGCTTATCACTTCTATTTTATAAAAAACCACTTCTTTCTTTGTTACTTCAGCGATGAAGAAGACTTCATGGGACCATCATTCGAGACTATAGCTGGTGCCGGTGAAAATGGAGCGATCATACACTACAGTCCATCCAAAAACGGGGAACAGAAGGTGATCAAAAAGAACGACATGTTCCTCCTGGACTCCGGCGGACAATACAAGTGAGAAGTTGATTTGTTTGCTTCTGCACTTTTTTATTGTACTAGCTTATTGTAAATTTTCTTACTTCGTATGTCTTTCCGGGTAAAAATTGTGTTTGAATTTTGAAGCACTTGCTGATATCGGATTTAGCAGATATTTGGCATACTAATGTAACTTCGATGACAATGTAATAATATGGTTCCATGGAGTTGATCTGATGATGGACAATCTAAAAAAAACATGTGTGCTGTTTATTTTTTTTTAAATTACTTTATTGCGTCCCCTTAGAAAAGAAAGGATAAAAAGGGCCTAATTAATACAAAAGGCTTAATGCCTAAAGGCGTTCTCTACCAGACAACCCATGGAGTGGCGAGTTTGTCGTAGGTGTAGCAATTAAAAAAAAAAAAGAAAAAAAAGAGAAACTAAAATTAATACACATTATATGTAACAAAACTGATTATGATACATTCTAAGTAAATATTATATATATATATATATATATATACCTATATAGACATATATCCGTACATTTACGTATATATTTTTTTTTAAAAAACGTTACCCCTACACTAAGATTTTCTCTTGTATCGTGGGGGCAGTTTACAAACATAAATTGAACAAGGACAAACATACAGACCCGGAACAACTACATGTAGGCCATATAAATACTTGTTCCGTGCGGGATTCGAACCCGCGACCCCCAGCGCAGCTACTAATTGCTAAGCCACTGCGCCAAGGAGTCGCCAATTTAACACATATTCATAATATAAATACATTTATATGCTAATAAATATTTATAAACATACATACATACACGTATATGACGGTCCGGGTAGTTCTGTCCGCCATCGGCCGACAAAATCGGTTTTGGTGTAAACGTACCTTAAGAACAACCAACCCCATATCATCCCGTGGGTGTCCTAAGAGGCGATTGTGGGAAAACAATCGGGAGATGGGCAGCAGCGTGTTTGTAATAACGCTTGCCTAGCGTGGCAACTGTGGCAAATATACTATGTGGCAATATATGGGGGAGGCCTATGTTCAGATGTGAACTTTGAGAGGCTGTAACGGGTAAATAAAAAAAGCGACTTATTTTTTAATAAAAAAAATATTAACAATGCTAAAAACATTACCACTATTCCCTTCAATCACTTCAGGTAAGCTAAAAATGCTTATGTTAGGAGTAGTTCGCGACAGTAGTCGAATGGCGGATTCGAACCCACGACGTTTTGAGTTTGCATTCCGCACCCTGCTGTTACTGCCGGCTACTGTCGTTTCGCTGACGCTTGTATTGATCTAATTTAGGGATGGAACAACTGACATCACGCGAACACGTCATATGAGCGGCGCGCCCACCGAAGAACAGAGGGACGCCTTCACACGCGTGCTGAAGGGGCAAATGATGGTCGGCAGTGCGCTCTTCCCGCAGGGAGTTAAGGTGAGTCATTATATAGTTTATACGTGGTGGAGTCATGCTGCAGTTATATTAGTATTATAGTTGTAGCACGAATGGGTCGGCTCGACCGGAGAAGGACCACGCTCTCACAGAATACCAGCGTCAAATAGTAGCTTAATGCTGCTGTGATTCGTATGGTGAGATCTCTACGATCCGGAGACCCTTTTTAGTAGAAACTTGGCATTCCATCTTAGTCCTTATAGGTGACAACGCATCTGCATTTTGATTCGTAATCGAGGATAGATGTAGATGTCTATGGACCACAGCATCCACTTACCATCAGGTGGACTGTGTGCTCGTTTGTCACACTATCCAATAAAAAAATACGATTGTATGTTATGGAGCTATGCTGCAACTGTCAAGGAGCACGCTCGAACAATAATAATGTCATCCAGACCGAATTCCGGTCAAGGCGACCGGTTTTAACACGACAGTAAGTACGTGCGCAAGCACAGATACACTCTTTATTCTCTCACTCTTCGATCATAGAGAAACCAGGCGCAGAACCAACGGATTCGCATGTTTTCCGAGGCGCGGGGATGAAACACCGCCAACTTCCTGACTTCGGCCTGCTGATGAGAATTTCTTGACAGAAAAACCCTAATACTGATCTTACCGACCCATGATTAAAATTCGGGACTGTCGCGCTTACAACAATTCGAGCAACGAGACAGTGTACCAACGATACCCCAGTCCACTCATACAATTTAATATACCAGCGTGTAGTAACACCACACATTTATATTAGAAATGGTAAACCCATAACATAACCAGTCCGTTGCCAGTTCTGTCACTTACATCATCAGTACATTTGCACAGACGATGCACCGGTGACTGTACAGTACACTTCTGATGTATTCGCAACTTGACTACACTCGCACCGACAATGTATCGTTGTTAGTTCACTGTCGGTGCATTTGCGTCTTTCAGTACACTCGTAGCAACGGTGCACCGGTGTCAGTTCACTGTTTGTGCATTCAGTACACTCGCAGTGACAGTGCACCGGTGTCAGTTCACTGTTTGTGCATTCAGTACACTCGCAGTGACAGTGCACCGGTGTCAGTTCACTGTTTGTGCATTCAGTACACTCGCAGTGACAGTGCACCGGTGTCAGTTCACTGTTTGTGCATTCAGTACACTCGCAGTGACAGTGCACCGGTGTCAGTTCACTGTTTGTGCATTCAGTACACTCGCAGTGACAGTGCACCGGTGTCAGTTCACTGTTTGTGCATTCAGTACACTCGCAGTGACAGTGCAGCGGTGTCAGTTCACTGTTTGTGCATTCAGTACACTCGCAGTGACAGTGCCCCGGTGTCAGTTCACTGTTTGTGCATTCAGTACACTCGCAGTTACAGTGCACCGGTGTCAGTTCACTGTTGGTGCATTCGCATCTTTCAGTACATTCGCAGTGACAGTGCACTAGTGTCAGTTCACTGTTGGTACATTCACACATTTCAGTACAATCGCAGTGACGGTGCGCCGGTGTCAGTTCACTGTCGGTGCATTCACCCCTTTCAGTACACTCGCAACTACAGTGTACCAGTGTCAGTTCACTGTCGAAGCTTTCACACCTTTCAGTACGCTCGCACTGATAGTACATCGGTGTAAGATCACTGTTGGTGCATTCACACCTTTCAGTACAATCGCAGTAACGATGCGCCTGTATCAGTTCACTGTTGGTGCATTCACACCTTTCAGTACAATCGCAGTAACGATGCGCCGGTGTCAGTTCACTGTTGGTGCATTCACACCTTTCAGTACAATCGCAGTAACGATGCGCCGGTGTCAGTTCACTGTCGGTGCATTCACACCTTTCAGTACAATCGCAGTAAAGATGCGCCGGTGTCAGTTCACTGTTGGTGCATTCACACCTTTCAGTACAATCGCAGCAAAGATGCGCCGTTGTCAGTTCATTGTTGGTGCATTCACACCTTTCAGTACAATCACAGTAACGATGCGCCGGTGTCAGTTCACTGTTGGTGCATTCACACCTTTCAGTACAATCGCAGTAACGATGCGCCGGTGTCAGTTCACTGTTGGTGCATTCACACCTTTCAGTACAATCGCAGTAACGATGCGCCGGTGTCAGTTCACTGTTGGTGCATTCACACCTTTCAGTACAATCGCAGTTAAGATGCGCCGGTGTCAGTTCACTGTTGGTGCATTCACACCTTACAGTACAATCGCAGTAAAGATGCGCCGGTATCAGTTCACTGTTTGTGCATTCACACCTTTCAGTACAATCAAAGTAACGATGCGTCGGTGTCAGTTCACTGTTGGTGCATTCACATCTTTCAGTACAATCGCAGTAACGATGCGCCGGTGTCAGTTCACTGTTGGTGCATTCACACCTTTCAGTACAATCGCAGTAACGATGCGCCGGTGTCAGTTCACTGTTGGTGCATTCACACCTTTCAGTACAATCGCAGTAACGATGCGCCGGTGTCAGTTCACTGTTGGTGAATTCACATCTTTAGTATGTAAATTATAGAATTCTCTGCATTAGAGAGGCCACAGCCCCCTGCTGTGAGTAGGTTAAATTTCCATAAAGCGGATTACGTTTCTATTTGAGTCAATCCATTATTGGTGCTTTACACTTGCAGTAGACTCGTGTTGACAGTGCGTCGGTGTATTCACACTATTCGTACGCTCACACCGACAGTTCTCCTTTGTCTTTTTTAGTGCATTTGTATCTCGAGTACACTAGCACTGACAGTGCACCATTTCTGTTGAGTTTTGTAAAAAGTTTAGGAAAACAAAGACGATGTTATGTTATGGGTTTACCAAAAAATGTCAAATCACTTTAATGAAATATTCCGTTGGTAGTTTTCTTTAGGTGAGGGTTACGTATGCAGTAAAACCACAGTGACCGACATAGCCCAACATATTAGTAAGCTGAAGTGGCAATGGGCCGGCCATTTAGCTCGAAGAACCGATAACCGATGGGGAAGAAAGGTTCTCGAGTGGCAGCCTCGTACCGGTAGGCGTAGTGTAGGGCGACCCCCCACTAGATGGAGTGACGACCTGGTAAGACATGCAGGAAGTCGATGGATGCAGGTGGCTCAGGACCGTGCTTTGTGGCATTACTTGGGGGAGGCCTATGTTCAGCAGTGGACTTGTGAAGGGCTGTAATGATGATGATGATGAGGGTTACTTACGTTAAAAAGCTTTTAGTTCTTGTTTCTCTGCTGCATGCTTACATGTATTTTGTTCAACATGAAGCAGGCATCTGACATTTGATGAGTGCGGGATTAAGCAAGTGCGGGGCCCGTAGCAATTGCTACTCTTGTTGCGTGGTTAATCCGGCACTGAATTTGATGGACAAAAGTGACTGTATTTAAGTTTTTCCTTATTACGAGTATTGGAAAATAAGGGAGTTTAATATACATGTAGCCTATTAAGAATCTTTTCACAAATGGCTTTCGTATTATCGACAAATATTATATGGTTATCATTTAAAAAAAATCAAATTCTAACGTAATTTTGTTTTTGGCGGTTTAACTATTGCTATAGCTTCTATCGCGGGCCTTGAGCGCGGGGACCAAATCCAGAAATTCCGTAACGAAAAAACCTCACGCTCCCCACTCCGACGGGCACGGAGGTGTGGCGTTGAAAGCCGTGCATGGTCTAACGTCGTTTCAGTTCGGTAGACTTCGGCACTCGGCAGACTTCGGCACGGTGTTTCTGTGCGTGCGACTAGACGTATGCGTGTACACTAGCTGCTCACTCAATGATAAAAATTCCTGAATAACCTACATGTATTGTAAGATATTAAAAATATTTTAAACAATATTAACTTCTCATTTATTCAATAAGAGAAATTTAAATCAAAGACTTAACTGCATAAATAAAATAAATAAATAATTATAATTGCATAAGTTGATAAAAAATGGTATGCAATAGCTTTACCGCGGCAGTCACCGAGTGCCACACGTATTTTTTTTAATGTTCATTTATACAAAGTGTTTTAAAATTCATTCAATTAAGAATTTAATGGAATATTTCATGTATACGCATATTTTTTCCTACCATATACAATAGTATAGTATCAGGAAGTGTTTGTCCAACCTGGCTTTAATATTTGGTTTGTTTTTGGCGTATGAGACTAACTTACTCTGTCAATTATCTAGCAATTTGTATGAAGTGTAGTGTAGAGATGACATGGAGCGATATTTGTGTCGGCAGGGCAACGTGCTGGATAGCTTCGCGCGCAAGGCGCTGTGGGACGTGGGGCTGGACTATGCCCACGGTACAGGGCACGGCGTGGGGCACTGCCTCAACGTGCACGAGGGGCCCGCCGGCGTCTCCTGGCGCCCATACCCGCACGACCCGGGCCTTCGTCCCGGACAGATACTCAGCAATGGTAAGCGTGCACGTACACGTGGGTGGACACGTTAGAATTCATACATGGGACAATGTATACGCTATTATAACATAGTACCAGAAAATATGCAAGGTACTTAGCTGTCAGCCGCCGTAGAGTCTACATAACCTGAAGATGCCTCGTGTAGACGCGAAACACGTGTCGTATTATCGTCAATGGTGTGTCTTTCCTGGAATAGTGGTGTTGGGAGTAGTGGTGCCGGGAGTAGTGGTGTTGGGAGTAGTGGTGCTGGGATTGGTGGTGACGGGATTAGTACGTCTTGCGGATTAATCAAAACATGTTGGTTTTTCCGCGATGCTAAATATAAATACGGACACGTTACACAAGTTAGACAAAAGCTTTTAGTACAAGTTACTTGATCTATTTACTAATTCACTAACACTTGAGTAATTCATTCTTGGGGCGATGTATACGCTTTTACAACAAAATCCCAGAAAATATACAAAATTTGTCATACTCAAAGTTCAAATTTTTTTATAAACTAAGTTTGTATAAAAAGGGTTATTTTAATATTAAGGGATTTATGGATGATAATAATGCCTGGGAAGAGTGACCGCTGAAAAGCTATTCCTAATTTGTCTTGTGTTGTTAATTGTAAACGTGATTGTAAGCTATTATTGGAAAAAAATAGTCCCGCTGGGCTTCTTGCTGGTTCTTCCCAGGACAGAGGTTTTTTTTGCGAACCAGTGGTAAATGAAAAAAGTGACTTTCAATAAGTATTGTTATAATCTACATTGAATAAAAAAGTTACTGTTTCTGTTTATTAGTGAAATATTGTCGCAGTCTGCAATATGGTCTAGGAAGCATGAAAGTTATATGCATAATATTATATTTTTCCAAACGTGTGTGGATATTGACGTATTTCATTATACAGTCTACGATATTCACCAAACCGATGCCTGTTTTAGTTTAAATCATGAACTCCTACAACTACTCCCTTCTAGACATGAAAGTGCCAATTTAGATAATCTAACTTGATATCCCGTGCAAAAATAGCAAGAAGAAATCACATATGACCCACATGAGACCCTTTTTACTGGAAACGAGGCATTCCATCTTAGTGCTCAATAGACATGTGTCGATCATGCATGATTCGTTCGTTTGAGCTGGTACACTTAAAAGTATTGATGGTTCATTCATTTGTTTTTGACTGTACCAGTACAATCAATCACAAACAATTGACGGTACCTTTTAACCCGCGATTTGTTTGAATTGCGAATGAGCCGCAAACCGACCGAATCCCGAATGGTCTGAATAAACAGGCGAATTGAATTAACAATGCAGACTGCAGAGCATAGAGTAGAGTAGAGTAATATATACACAGAACACCATTACTCCTAGCGGAGAATATATACGGAAACTGCAGAGTAACAGGAGTATTCATTATTTTAGGTTTTTTTTTATTATAATATTGTTACCTAAATTAAAAATCATTTTACATTTAAATCTATGAGTTAAAAATATCATTTTGTAGAGTTTACTAAAAATAACACTTCAAAAAATTTTATGATAAATGACTTATTTAATGATATTTTTCAACCATCTTATACAAGTTAGGTAAAAGTTTAATTTCATAGCAAATAAATGTTTCCATCCCTATTTTCAGACATGTAATGTAAGATGAAATTGTGTATGTTCAGACTCACAGAGTGTTAGGAATGAAATTTGACATTAAGCATATTTATAAATATTTAAAAAAAATTTTTAAGGTTTTTGTATTTATGTCATCTAGCGTCGATTGTCCTTACCACCTTGAAAGTTAATAAGTTTAATTTGATAAAATGACTTTATTACCTACATCGTGTAGTAGATGGCGCTATTACAAATCTTAAATTTTCGGTTCCCAATAGATCTCACAGACTCACAGAGTACTGGAGCCTGAAATGATCCATTTGAATGATCGATCCGAATGTACTAGTACGCGTGACGAAATGTACTAGAATGATTCGGTCGCTAGAAATGAGTGATTTACACATGTCTAGTCCTCAGGGGTGACAACGCATCTGCAGATGTAGATGTAGATGTCTATGGGCCGAAGCAACCACTTACCATCAAGTGGACTGTGTGCTCGTTTGTCACTTTATCCTATAAAAAAAATATAATGCAGCCGGCCTCAACGTGGCCATCTACAGCGACAAGGTACAGCGTCTTCACGCCTCCCGCCTCCGCTAGCGTGGCCAACGCCTAAGTTAAAATATTTTATTAAATAATAAACTGTACAAAAAGGATTATTATAATAGAAATGAATACATGCTTGATAATAAACACTGGGAATATAATGGTCGCTTCCAAGCTGTTTCTAAAATCAATTTTGTAAATAGTTTGTATAACTTTTGTTATTCCCGCTGCGTTCTTGCTGTTTCTTCCCAGGACAGAAGTGTTTTTGCGAACCAGTGGTAAAAGTAAAAAATGACTTTCGGTAAAAATTACATTTAATCCATATTTAATTTAAAACAAATCAATTCTATTCGATTCTATGATCATCGGTAGTACGTCGTACGTGGTAGAGCCACTTTGCAGCTATATTATGGTTGTAGCACGAATGGGTCGGCTCGAGCGGGCAAGGACCACGCTCTCACAGAATATCAGCGTATAATAACAGCTTTAATACTGCCGGTGTGTTTCTGTATTTGGGGGGGGGGGGTTTGGGTGGGGTTTTGGGGGGGGGGGGGGGGGGGGGGGGGGTTGTTGGGGGGTGAATGTAGAGATTCGGAGACCTTTTTTTACTGGAAACGGAGCATTCCATCTTCGTCCTCAGTGGTAACAACGCATGTGCGTTTAAATTCTTAGTCGAGAATAAATGTAGATGTACATGGACCACAGCATCCACTTACCATCAGATGGACTGTGTTCTCGTTTGTCACCCTTATTCTATAAAAAAAATCGGAACATCTTAGTAAATTCTCACTAAGCGTCCTTGTTAAAAAACTACGCAAAAACGTATTACACCCATCTACCAACTTGTCATGCTAATTATAGAAGTAATAGTTTTATGCCAAAAGCTATGAGGTTATTTGATAAATATTTTAAAGGCAACGATGTAAACTTATTCTTTAATTATACTAAACTACATTACATCTAATTTCAACATTAAATCTACTCTTTCTTAAGTAGTATGTCTTAGTAATAATTTGTTGTGAATGTATTTAGCCTATTAAAACTTTAGATATTACAAAAAGGTAATGGTGCAGATGAGTTGGCGCCAATATTCATTAAAAATTGTGCCGAAAGTTTAGCTTTTCTTTCGAATAAAATTTAAATAAATAAGTCATTTACTACTGGAATCTTTCCAAATCTGTGAAACGTTGCAAACGTAGTACCAGTTTTTAAATCAGATGATATTAATATATATTAATATAACATTGGATGACAAACGAGCACACAGTCCACCTGATGTTAAGTGGATGTTGTGGCCCATTGACATCTACATTTATCCTCGATTAAGAATCAAAATGCAAATGCGTTGTCACCCCTGAGGACTAAGATGGAATGCCTCGATTCCAGTAAAACGGGTCTCCGGTTCTCTACACTCACCATACGAAACAGCAGCATTACGCTGTTATTTTACGCTGGTATTCTGTGAGAGCGTGGTCCTACCCTGGTCTAACCGTGCAACAACTGTAATATAGTTGCAGCGTGGCTCTACCACGTATAATCGTCTATTTAAATAATAATAATAATGTCCTCTAGACCGAATTTCGGTTACGGTGGTCAGTCTCAATGGAGACTTAGACATCTGTGCAGGGCAGAATTATTGTGCACGAGTATGTAAGTAAACACAAGTGCACTCTCTATTCCTTTACTCTCATCATCTCCGAAGACCCTTTTTTACTGGAAACGAGACATTCAATCTTAGTCCTCAGGGATGACAACGCATCTGCATTCTGTAATCGAGGATAGATGTAGATGTCTATGGGCCACAGCAACCACTTACCGTCAGGTGGACTGTGTGCTCGTTTGTCACCCTTATTTTTAAAAAAAAGGCGAATATAGGAAATGCAAGAAAGTCTCAAGGCCTTTGTTAGACGGCTAGGTAGCGCAGTAGCGTTTTTGTGTGGAGATGCAAGCCGCGGGTCCGATTCCTGCACGAAACACGTGTTTGTATGGCCTACAAATAATTTCTCCGGGCTTGGATGTGTCTGTATCCAATTTATGTATGAAATGAAATAGTTTGTAAGCGTATCCGTACCGTAGCTTATTTATTTTTGCTGGAAACTTCGAGCAAAGGTGTTTGTGTCACAGTTGGGACACCAGTGACACAAGACTGTGTAGGCCAACGATGAGATGTTTTCGGATAAAATAAGGCCAAGATCTCTTCTAATATTGCTCTATATATGTTCGTGAAGTTTCACTAGAATTCGTTCAGCTATTATGCAGATATGTAGTTCGTGAGGATAATATGGTCATCCGGAAAATTTGGTCACTTTCTTGTAACGCATAAACTACAGCCTTGTTTGCATAGATGGCTTTGTGATACGATAGCTCTTTATCGGTCAATCAAATAATAAAGGTTCAAAAGGGCGATGCTTTATCGACGTCATTTTGACAGTAGACATTAGAGTAAATATTTTAGGCGATTTTAGTATGGCGTAATGAGGTTAGTTTTTTACATTGAAGTAATATGTACTTACGTACTAGAACAGCTATTTCAAACAAGAAATGTGCGCTACTCTGTGTTCGCGCGGTTGGTTTTTTTATCATAGAATAAACATAGCTAGAATGATCTGTAGGTAATAGTAGATTGTATTGTTAAATAGGTAAATTATATCGAGAACAATATTTAAATTTTGTCATTTATTTTGTATATTATATTTGCTTATTTAATATAATATTAAATAATATCAAAATTACATTTTAATGATATTTTATCTGAATATTTTAAAAGGTATCTATGTCAAATATAAAAAACACACTAAATGTACGTTTAATAAAACTTATTAACATAAAATTTAAATTATAATAACTAATTATAATAACTTGTATATGTTTCTACAAAAAAAATGTGTACAATAATATTATATTCGTCCTATACTTAAGTACCCACAGAAATGTCGCATCTGAACATACTCGTATTAATTTCATAATCTATATTCCATGACACGAGATGGCGTCTAAGGAATAATTTGTTTTATTATTAATCTAAAATACTTTTTTTATTGTTTAAGTATCTTTTAACCGATGAAAAGTAATTCCTTGATTTTTACTGACATTTCTTGAATTATTTGTGCAAATTCTAAGTACACACGACGGCACATTTTTATCAAAAGATTTTTTTTTAAATCAACACAACACGTGAAAACTCTACAAGCGCTTAGCGAGTGACTGATTAAAGTGCGGTGTATGCACCGCAGTTGAGTGGAACACAGTAGCTTAATGCAGTGTCTTCTTAATTATTGCCAAAGCTTGTTTGCTATTATTTTCTTAATATATTAGTTACATTATTCGACTTTGTGTTTTTGTTTCTGGCCTCCTCCTAGTTTTGGTTTTATATGGCGGCAAAGCTTAAGGTGACATTACGCTCACGTATCTTATTATAAGCTGTGAGACAGAAAAACAAACACAAAAATTTCAAAAATGGTTCTTCATGTCTTAATTGCGTGCAAATAAACCCGTTTGAGGTTAAAAGAAGCCAGTTATTTCTATATTATAGAAAAATATTTCAATTTTATTCATATGTATAGATTAGACATGTGTCAATCGTGAATGATTTGACCCGGGTCTCATCAAAGTATTGAAGATTGCAAGTACATTTTTAAACGTTCCGGATCAAACGATTGACAGTACCTACAACCCTAGCGTGTAGTAATCGGACGACCGTCATTATCGAGCGGGTCTCACAGTATCACAGAGTAGTGAAGCTCGAAATGATCCATTTGTATGATCGAAATACTTGAATGATCGGGTCATTATAAATGAATGACACGTGTCTAGTATAGATTTTCAAACAGAATATAACACATGCAATTTCAACCACAGAGCCCGGGTTCTACAAGGTGGGGGAGTATGGCATCAGACACGAGGATCTTGTTGAAACTGTCGCCATCACCAAGGGTTCCAAACATCCGAGGGTATGTACCATTATAATGTGCGCGGATATCATTAGTATAGGCAAAATATTAGCGTCAAATAGTAACCTTATAAGTTAAGAGAAAGTAGCTGAATGACAGGGTGCGAGCCTCGTACTAAAAAAGTTGTGGGTTCGAATCGCCATTCGACAGTTGTCGCGAACCATTCCGAACATAAGTATTTACAGTTTACCAGTAGTGGTTAAAGAGAATATTAATAATGTTGGTAGCATTACTAGTATACGTGGTAGAGCCACGCTGTAGTTATATTATGGTTGTAGCACGAATGGGTCGGCGGCCCTGGGAAGGATCACGCTCTTACAGAATACCAGCGTAATATAGCAGCTTAAAACTGCTGTGTTTAGTATGGTGAGTGTAGAGATCCGGAGATCCTTTTTTTCTGGAAACGAGGCATTAGTAGATGACTAAGGATTACCTCAGAGGTAACAACGCATCTGCATTTTGGTTCTTAATCGAGGAAAAATGTAGATGTCTATGGGCCACAGCATCCACTTACCATCAGGTGGACTGTGTGTTCGTTTGTCACCTTTATTCTATATTATAAAAAAAAGTTAATTAAATTATGTTACGGCCTACAAACGGCCACAGTTGGCCAAAGGCCTGTTCTAACTTCTGAAAGGAGTAAACTTGTAATGTAAATAATTGAAATTCGGCGTATTCAAGAACTGTGCCAAATATCACTCGTCTATATACGTAAAATAATGTCTGAGAAAATTGTCGGTGTTTGACAGATAATCGCTAAGGTTTTCAGAACGTTGACAGACGATGATCCTGTGTCAACGTTCTGAAAACCAGAGACAGACTAATGATGGTTAGTGAACGCTGTGACCCATACACATCCACTTCCGTCCTGCGCAAACTCAGCATCATTATCTGCTGTTCATGCTGGTATTCTGTGCACAGAATGCATACACACAGTTCACATAATAACATTCAATTTCTAAATGCAAATGTGCTGTCACCACGGAGGACTAAGACGACCTCGTTTCCAGTAAAAAGAGTCTCCGGTTCTCTGCACTCACTATACCACTTCACATTTCGTACGTGGTAGGGCCATGCTGCAGCTATATTGTTGCAGCACGAAAGAGTCGACTCGACCGGGAAGGCCCATGCTCTTACAGAATACAAGCTTGAGATATCAGCCTAATAATTAATCTCCATTGAGACTGGCCGCGGGACCGAAATCCGGTCTGTAGGACATTATTATTAATGTAAAAGCACCTAGAGCTATTTTATATCAGCCATTGGCTCGTATTTTTAACCAGCCAACATTGGTACCGGCGTTGGGACCGATATCTAGAACCGGGACTGTAATAAACGTATACTAAATGCATTGATTAAAACTACTTTTACGGATTTTATCGCGTTTAATTTTACTTTTAATTATTTTTATTTTTAATTCCCGACGTTTCGGGTGCTTTCCAGCACCCATGGTCACGGGGGACTGAGGTGACTGACGTCCCGATGTCATTGATAAACCCGGAGTACCTTCAGCTTTTTTAATTATTGTTTATGGTCCGATCTATGCAAAATGAACTGACTATGTCCTGAGGTCTTGCAGTGGTATGCTTGGGTTTAGTTTTAATTTTATTGATTATAGGATCCCAAGCAGGTGGTAGTACCCAGCCTCCTTCTCTATTGAAATTAGGATGTTTTTTAATTTCAATTGCCTCACGTATCATCCTTAGTAGGGGGCGGTGTTCTTTTGCGAAAATTTGTGGTCTATCAAATCTGGGCCGTCTAGGATATGAACACAAACGTAAAAGTAGTTTTAATCAATGTGTAGTATTCGCGTGAATGTAAGAAATCATTATATACAAAATTCTCTAAAGGGTTTGCTAGAGAGTTAATGAAATATACTTTCAGGCGTCTAACTTGCGAGGTGACTTGGACGGTCGAGGTGTACTCGGCTTCAACACACTGACTCTAGTGCCGAATCAAAGAGAGTGCATCGATTTGGCCCTGCTGGACGATTTCGAGGTAAGTAATACAATATTCTGTCCAATTATCAACCCGTGGTAGCGCAGCAACTTGGTCATCATCATCATCATTACAGCCTACCAAAAGTCCAGCTGAGTACATGCTTCCCCAAAAGTTTTGACATAGTTGCCACGCTTTGCACTCTACTTGTGGTAGCTTAGGTGGTTGCGTGGCCATAGATAATATACTATATGGGGCATAGATGAGCAGCATGATGACTGAAATTATTAGGTGACGAAACGACGGAAGTTTCCTCTGCGCTGTCATAGATGGCGTTGGGATTACAAATAGTGATGTGCCCCTCACTCGTTAGTTACCTCGTTTGAGGTTCTCGTGAAGGCGAATTGAAAGAGTAACTCGAATTTCGTTATTGAACCCATAGAATACTATAATACATACCTAATGGAATTGGGCAAGTGGGCGGAGCCCGCGTAGCCACTAAAATGTCACTAACATGTCAATTCACACGTATAAATGTCAACAATAAAATAATTGTACTGTTTAAATAGTAACTAATTTTAATTCAATTTAATTCTATTCAATCTGTTTACTATAATACTACTATAATAATAATAATAAAAATGGCGTAGGGAAGTGACGACCCCATCGCCCGCTGACGTAACGGTTATGTGACAAAACCACTACGTCAGTGCAGTCAGTCAGCACCTTGCCAAGAGGTGTTAGTGCCGTGCCTCGGCAAAAATTAAAGACGCAAAGGCCCGCTTGTGCACATGGCCCCACCATAAAACGGCGCCGGGTCTGGGCGTCTCCCGCTAAATGACGCCCACTTTTATGGATGATGGAATATGCAAAAACGCGCAAAGGGCCGCTGCCCGTCATCATAATGCCGGATGACGTAGCTGAGGCGGTCCGTAGGGCCCCGAACTGGAAAAGTCCGGGACTCGACGGGCTGCATCACTACTGGCTGAAGGGGTTTGTGGTGTGTGACAGTTCCAAGAGGCTCTCAACCAGAAGTCGCTCCCGAGCCTCTTCACTACTGGGATCACGCATTTGGTTCCTAAAGACAAGGTTACCACAGACGCGAGCAAATACCGCCCCATCACGTGTCTGCCGACCATATACAAGACACTAACATCCATTTTGAGCGCGAGAATCACTCGTCACCTGGACTCAAATCAGGTGATGTCGCGCGCTCAAAATGGATGTCGGGGCGGCGGTTGTGGAACAAAGGAACCACTCCTCATTGACGCGGTCATTGGCAAAGTGGTGAAACGCAACCGTCGGAACTTCTCCGCCGCCTGGATAGACTACAGACAGGCATTTGACTCGGTGCCCCATACATGGCTAAAGAGGGTCCTCGAGCTGTACAAGATTGACTGTACAGTTCGAGACTTCCTCGAGCAGTGTATGGGGCAGTGGAGTACGATCCTCTGTCATCTAGGCGAGCGGATGACGGCTGCGGAAAGCCGCATAAAGATAAGAAGGGGTATATTCCAGGGCGACTGTCTGAGTCCAATCTGGTTCTGCCTCTCTTTGAACCCTCTCAGTACTTTACTGGAGGGTTCCGGGAGGGGATTTCAGCTTCGGAAAGGAGGTACAAAAGTGACCCACCTTTTCTATATGGATGACCTCAAATTATTCGCCTCCAGTCGCTCCCATCTTATGGAATTGGAAACATCACTTGTGAATTTAGCAATTCTATTGGAATGGAGCTGGGAACGGATAAGTGTGCGGTCCTCCATGTTAAGAGGGGTAGGGTTGTTAACTCTGAGGGCATAGACTTATCTATGCCCGTCAACTTAAGGACACTTTCCGAGGCTGAAACATACCGATACCTGGGTATGTCACAGAACATCGATATCGATGAGGCTGGTATGAAACAGTCAGTTTGCGAGACGTTTTATGCACGCTTGGCCAAAGTGCTTAACAGCCTTTTGTCCAGTGTGAATAAGGCACACGCATATAACGGCTGGGTCATGCCTGTCCTCATGTATACCTTTGGCATACTCAGGTGGACTCAGACCGAACTTAACGCCCTGGATGGAAGTCCGCACTACCATGACGTCCCATAGGATGCATCATCCGAGATCGTCGGTAATGAGGCTGTACTTGCCGCGAAAGCATGGTGGGCGTGGCTTCCTGAGCGCGCTCACCATGCATAATCGCGAAGTGTGCAGCCTCCGTAATTACTTCCTGGTGAGATCGGATCGGATTTCTAGTGATAAAGGACTTACCCCTCTATCCTTAGCCAACGCGCAATGGCAGGACCCGGCAGTACAAAGCATTTCCAACCGGGAGACCGTATGGAAGGAGAAGGAGCTCCACGGGAGGTACTACAGGGTTCTACATGATCCCTTCGTAGATACAGTCGCCTCCCTCAACTGGCTACGTTTCGGTGACCTTTTTGGGGAAACCGAGGGTTTTGTCTGTGCAATACAGGATCAGGTTATTAAGACCAACAACTATCGGAGATACATCCTAAAGCATGGCACCATCGACGTCTGTCGAGCTTCTCGCCATCCCGGTGAGTCACTTAGGCATGTCATCTCCGGTTGTTCGGCGCTTTCTAACTCTGAGTACTTGCACAGGCACAACCTAGTAGCCAGAATTCTACACCAGGAGCTCGCTCTGAAATACGGTCTCGTGGATCGGAAATTGCCGTATTACAAGTACTTACCGGAAGCCGTGCTCGAAAATGACCGCGCTAGGCTCTACTGGGACCGGGCCATCATCACAGACAGGACTATTCTTGCGAATAAGCCTGATATTGTACTGATGAACCGGGTACAGTCAAGGATATTTTTGGTCGACATTACCATTCCGTATGACGAGAACCTCGTGAAAGGCGAAACAGATAAACGAACAAAATATCTGGACCTGGCTCACGAGGTGACCGACATGTGGGGTGGTCTGCCGGCCGAAATTATTCCTGTAGTCGTCTCTGCGAATGGGCTAATCCCAGTCAGCCTCTCGGGTCATCTGAGGCGACTGGGACTCCGTGACGGACCGCTCCGGGCTCAAATGCAAAAGGCGGTGCTTCTCGATACCGCCCGCATCGTCCGCCGGTTTCTTTCCCTTTCCTCCTAACCCTCGGCCGTTTGGTCTCCCCTGCCGAGGGCTCCCATCTGGTTGGGCTTTTATTTATTTATGTATTTTTGTATTTATTTTATTTTATTGATATTTATGTATATTTATCGTTTCATTTTAATTTATAATTATATATTTATATAACCCAACCAGATGAGAAAACTATATAGATACCCCAAATAATAATAATAATAGTACTGTTTAAATAATAACTAATTTAAATTCAATTGATCGTATACTTAAATATTTGCACGTCCTAACAGGACAAAACATGTTGATCTTTTATTTGATGTAACAACTTATTTACCGTGTTTTATGCAAATAAATGATTCTTGATTCTTGAACACCAGATGTGTTTTGACGTAACAATCGTTTCCAAATAACGCATGCAAATTATTTAGAAAATACCATATTGCACACTATTTACATATAAATATGTATTAAAATTTAAACGATTTTTTAATGATGATCTTGAACATTAATCAAAGGTCTAAAATGTGTAAATTTACTCAGTCTGTCAATACAACGAATCGGGTTTGTAGTAGTGATAATACGACGTATAATTGCTTGTATGTGTGCTGCCGGCGACGCGGAATCTCGTACAAAATAAGTTTGACAGCCATTCTATTGTGTATTATAGTATTCTATGATTGAACCACCTCACCATTTCGTTCACGACCTCACTTAAATTATATGCGCGCGAGCGTCTTTAGCGAGTAAGCAAAGATAAGAGTGAACGAGTAAGTGAGGTTTCGGTTTATACAAACAAAGGTACTCTGTGTACTCATTACACAGAGTACTTTTGTTTGTGAGGGAGTGACTCAAGGCTCAAAGAGTGTAGTAGGTAATACATAGATACAAGAATGACTCTATTGAATAATATTGATCATAAAGGAAAAGCAATATTTAAATGTGTAAGGTTATTTAATGAATTAAATACAAATATAATTGTTTATTTATGTTGTGATGGAATATTTGTATGTTATGTGGTTAGTGTGTGTTTTCTTGGTGTTTTTACGTAAATAACAATGAATTGCTCGTGTAATATAATTTGTAATTTCATAAATCCGTGACAAACTCTCAGGTCTTTGATTTTTTACTGATGAAGCATATCGCACCAAAAAAGAACAGTAGTAATATGTCCACCACCAAGACCAAAATAATCAATAATAAATAGCGAGCTAGTTAGTAGCTAGCTCGCGCGCGTCTCGCTACTATAACGACGCGTGCGCGTAGCCATAGTTTTGTAAATTTCTCTGCATACAGGAGAGGTGTATACCTACATTTAGTACCGTATTATTTTATTATATTACATACTTTGTCTAGTATGGACGTATCGAATCACTAAACCTTTCGCAAGCCAAATCAGTGTCCGGTATAAAAAACAAGATCGTTGTAGTAGGTAAAACAGAATTCACTAAAAATAAACAATCAATAATTTCTATACCTACTAACAAATCAAAGAGAGAGCCGAGCGGGTGCGCCAGCGGCGTCATTCAACTCCCCCGTCTCAACCCGCCCCAACCCCGCACGACTCGTACCCCGCGTACCTCACCGCCACTTGACTAACAAACAAGTGAGAACGCGATAACATTCAACGAAAAATAGTGTGCGGAAATTTCATAAAACTTGTTTCAGGAAATACGTGCTTTCTAGTAAGCCTTACAAGTTTGTGAAATTAATTTTTTTTTGTTAAATAAATTGTCATTTAGAAACTCCATTACATTTGCGAGTTTCCTATGACAATATTTTGTTTAGTTTCACAATTTATGAGTACATTATGAACGGCCAAAGTTCAGGTTAAATGTGTGTAAAAAAGCAGATTTTTGGAGGTTTATACTGAATTCGTTTCTCCAAATTTTGATTTTTTGTTTTGTAGAAACCTGGGTATAGTGCACAAGATACCTATTAGATCAAAAGTTTCAAAGAAAACTATATTACAACGCCATAATAACGTACGAGCGTTTGTATGAAAAGTAAGATGGATTAGCCGCTCTTAACAAGTGACGGCACGGCGGAATGTAATATGGTGGATAGCGTTTGGCAGATTTGAGGCACAGAAATCAAAATTTCTCGTTTGCTTTTTACAAAACTTATCATAAATATATATATTTTTCTAATTTGTTTCACATGGTGTAAAATACCCTATTAGTAAATTCAATGGCGGCGGGAATCGAACTTAGTATGATTTTTTTTGGTCAGTTTTTTATACCCTGTTTTGATACTGCTCTGCTTGCGTACACATATTAAAAAAAGAGATTGCAGACAGATCGAGAACTCCTCCCCACCCCTCCTCTTCCTCTTTTGTGGTCTGTTACTAAGAGGGATCTATGTTTATTTTCAGTTAGCATACATCAACTCTTACCACAGCAGAGTGTTGAAGACTCTAGGCCCAGTGCTGCAGTCGAGGGGCCTGGTAGAGGACTACAAGTGGTTACAAGAACAGTGCGCCCCCATTGTCAGAGGGTAGGTGTAAGTAAATGAATTATTAATGATTTCTTATATTTACACGAACATTCAACATTGAATAAACGGATTTTTTTGTTTTAATTAAATTAAACGCGATGAAATTGGTAAAAGTTGATTAATTCAATAAATAAATTATTAAAAAAAAACGCGACTGTGGTGAATTACATAAGTGAAATTTATATTTGAAATACGAAAAAGAAAAAAGAAAAGAAATTATACTACACTCCTAGCTGGCCAAGCTGACGTTTTCCTTTTCGACGACCCTTTCTCCTATAAAAATCCTTAAATTCGCAATAAAAAATATTGAGTGTCAACTATCGCGATAAAAACTATCCTATATCTTAAGTTGGACCAAATTACGCACAATGTGCAAAATTTCATTGAAATCAGTTCAGTTATTTACGAGTTCATCGCGGACAAACAATGTTTTTTTTTTATAGAATAAGGTTGACGAACAAGCACATAGTCCATCTGATGGTAAGAGATTGCTGCGGCCCGTAGACATCTACATTTATCCTCGATTACGAATCAAAATGCAGATGCGTTGTCACCCTTGAGGACTAAGATGGAATGCCTCGTTTCCAGTAAAAAGGGTCTCCGGTTCTCTACACCCACCATACGAAACATAGCAGCATTAAGCTGCTATTTTAAGCTGGTATTCAAAATTTAAAATGCTGGTAAAAATATGTGACACGTAATTTTTGTATAAAGATAGGTAGGACTCATTTTAGCAAATAGCAAGTCAAATAAATAATACATTATTTTCATACGCTGTACGTTATTTTTATAGCTTAGAAAAGTGAAAATATTTACTACTGCTCATATAAAGGAGGCAGACCTCTCAGACTACAAAGAAGGTTATAGATGCGTGGTCACTTCTGAGCCAAAACTCCTTCAAGTTTTTTTTAATTAAACTTTTTTTTTACAGGTCAACACGTCATCAAAATGGAGGCGGTCAGCAATAGTGTGTGCAGAATTTTATGCTTAATATATATTATTATATGAACTAGACAATGTATTGTAACGTATTGTACATTATTTAATAAATCGTTTTACGTATTGATTCATATTGGTATCATTTAATGGTAATTAAAAAGTTTTCTGGTATTGTAAAAGCGTTTTACTTTCATAAATAAAAAATTATAATTTTTGGTTGTAGCACAAATGGATCGGCTTGACCGGAGAAGGGCCACGATCTCAAAGAATATCAACGTCAAATTGCAGCTGTATTTCGTATGGTGAGTGTAGTGAACCGAAGATCCTTTTTCCTCGGGGGTGATAACGCATCTTAATTTTAATTAATAACTGAAGAAAGGCACTTGTCATCATGTGGACTCTGTACTCGTTCGAAACCCTTATTCTACAAAGTAATCGCATAAAGACTAATGAAAAAATTAACTTCATTAGTCGTAAAATTTGACGAAATCAAAGGCTTTTTCATATTTCTACATACGTAATATAATATAATACGGCAAAATGTGCAGATTGAACTCTTCGGTCTTATGTACAATTTGTCGAAGGTTTATGGTCTATGGAGCTTAGGCCGTTTCGGAAAGCAGGTTTTTCATATCTATAATGATTCTCGAAAACAACACGTAGACGCATCTTAAAAGAGAAATAGGTCTATGAATCTTTGTGTACGGCTTGGTAAGTTCATATTGTCAACAGAAATGTTTATTCGATTATAATATTCGATACGCGCATTCACCTTGTGCGATTATATACTGTATGTTTAAGACATAGATCATAAAATAACCTATAGATCTTCAAAAGACGGTTGTCGGAACAAGACTCTCACTTTTGTTCCATGCCTCCGGAGTGGTGCCACGATGAATTACTTACTTCCCGTTGAAAAGGGCAAGTTTGAACAGCTTCTGAAGGACTTTCACTTGCTCGGACTAACGAATTGTAAGAATTCAGCATTATAATTGGTACCGGCGGGGATTAAACTCGATGAAATTTCTATGTAATTTTATAGCAAGTCAATCAAAATCCACTGATAAACATAGGCCTCCCCAAGCCCTGCCTCATAAGGATGATGTTTGCCACAGTTGCCACACAGCAGGCGTGGCAGCTGTGGCAAACATTTCCCTTCTAGTATTTATAAGGGAAGACGCTGCTGCTCATCTCCTGATTTGTCTTCCTCTGTCGCCTCTTACGACACCCACGGGATGATTGGATTTCTTCAGACATACGAGTTTAAGATGGTAGTCCTGGCTAGATAGAGTGCCGATTTGTGTAAGAGGACTGGCAGCAAGAGGATGCGTGAAGCCGAAGATTAGGCTAAGAATGGTGCGCCTTGCGAGAGGTCTATGTTCAGCTGTGGAGTCAAGATGATGATGATGATGACGATTAAGATGATGATAATTATGACAATAACGATGAAGACGACGACGATGATGACGACGATTCCCATGACGATGATGATGATGATGACGATTAAGATGACAATAACGATGAAGACGATGAAGACGATGATGACGACGATGTCCATGAGGATGATGATTATAATGACGATTAAGGCGATGATAATGATGACAATAACGATGAAGACGATGATGACGACGATGCCCATGACAATGATAATGATGATGATGAGGATTAAGACGATGATAATGATGACAATAACGATGAAGACGATGATGATGACGATAACCATGACGATGATGATGATGACGATTCGTTAGTCGGTGTCGTAGAAGGTGACTTATAAGTAATGCCAGACAAATATTTTGCCTTTCTATGGCGATATTTGTTTCGTTTAAATCAGATGTAAATCCGGTCTGTCGACGGACAGCAATGTCAAAGGTCCGAGATATAGTAATATATCCTTTAAGAATATACTCTTAAAGCCATTTAAATAAACGAACACTTCTTAGCAACAACTTAATGTTATTAGTAAAATTCATGGAACGCGTTAGCAGTAAATACAATATACTACCAAAATCAACACCGTCCATCACCATGCGATACGGGACAGCCTCACTGCAACATCACCTTCGCTTAAAGAATTTTTTTTGTACTTAATTACCACGAGGTAGAATAACGACATCGATTACGACTTGTAAAATAGTCTAAACTAGTTGTCTGCACAGTCTGAAAAATCGACAACCGGTGGAGAAAAAAGGTTCTCGAGTAGCAACCTGGAAGTAAGCGAAATGTAGGACGCCCCCCACTAGAATAGAATAGAATCATTTTTTTGTAATAATTATTGAAAGTCATTAAGATGAAAGAAATTATTAAAATGCAGGAAATAAAGTAAATGGGGCTCTACACTCTATTGTGAAAAGTCAGAATGTGTCAAAAAAGGCACGTATGGCAATTCACAATGCTGTATTAGTCCCTACTTTAACGTATGGTAGTGAAAATTGGGTGTGGCAGAAAAAGCACGAGAGTAGAATAAACGCAGTAGAAATGCGGTCGCTGAGAAGTATGTTATGGCTGAATCTGAGTGACAGGGTGAGAAAATGTGTGAAATAAGAAGAGTGTGTTTTACAAGATGATGTTGTGACCAGGATTAAGAAAGGAATGCTTCGGTGGTTGGTCATGTAGTAAGAATGAATGAGAAAAGACTGACAAAGTAAATATATGTTGCAGAAGTGAATGGAAGAGTCGGAAAGGAACGTCCTAGGCGAAAGTTTGTCGATCAAATTGGCGATATATTAAAAATGCGCCAAATTAAGAGTACCCTTAACCGACGAGCATGTATGCGTAGGTATATATGGATATGGAAGAGAAGTATGTCAGGATCGTGCTAAATGGAAGTCTGTAGTCTCCGCTTACCCCTCTCGATGACAGGCGTGAGTGTGTATGTATTATTGAAAGTCATTTTCTACTTTTAACACCGGTTCGGAAAAATCCTCTTTCCTGGAAATAACCAGCAAGAATCCTAGTGGGATTTTTTAAAGCACAATTTACAATACAAAATTTTATACAATTGTTATGAAAACATTAAGAAAACTCATGGTAGCGACCACCTCATTCACCAGGATTCTGTCGGATGTAGGTTATAAATTGCTCTTATGGCTCTCTTCTGCAAAACAAAGATAGTTTCAATATCTGTCGCATTACCCTATAGCAAGATTCCATATGACATTACTTTATGGAAATAACTAAAATATACTAATCTAGATGTTTCAACACATCATGTTAGGCCTCTAATCATTTTACGGTATATGCTGCAAAGCTAAGTTTTCTAGCTAGTTAAGAGATATGTGAGGACCCCATTGAAGCTTCGGGTCGGCTGTATTTCCGAGAAAAACAGTGGATACAGCAAAGCCCAGCTCCTCCCCATTTGAAAATACACTGAATTTCACCTGTTTAACATCAGATGTAACGAAAATTCATTTAAAATTTATTATTTTATGATGAAAATACATTTCGTTTTATTACCGTGCAAAAGCAAATTATTGACGTTAAATCAGTGTACTACTTTTAATGTAACATTATTCACTTCATCATATTTCAATAATTGCCTTTTAAGTCGGAAAATCAAGGAAGTATCATCAACAAATAAAACTATATCATGGTTATTCCCTACCAAGTAAGGTAAGTCATGAATATAAACTAAGAACAGAAAGGGGCCAAGAACTGAGCCCTGAGGAGCACCCATATCTGCTAGATACTACTGATCCGAAAGAACTGATCCCATTAATAACAATTGTTTGCGTTCTATTATTTAGATATGTCGTAAGTTTAAGCGATGGATGAACGTGGCTCAAGATCGTGCTTTGTAGCATTTCTTGGGGAAGCCTCTGTTCAGCAGTGGACTTGTGAAAGGTTGTAATGATGATGATGTTGGTGACATAGTAATATAATTAAATATTACCTGTACTGAACTTTGTTAAGGTTTAATGTTAAGAGAGCAATGATAACAAAAAATATAGACGAGGAAAGTTTATTACAAAAGCGAATACAAAAAGTTCACAAGACTTAAATATACACCTAATACATTTACAAATGCCTTGTTTAGTCACTAACTACAAGATGGCGGTATTATTCACAAAATGGACGACAATATGTATTTATAACTAAGAGTACGAGGGATAAACATCGGTATACTTAAAGACGGTTATAATTTTATGAGAACATATTTCTACGAATTAATGAAATACAATAAGTACAAAATACATAAACGAACTATTATTTTAATATATTGAAATGAATCATAGTACTTAAACTATTGAGTTTCTACTTCCTACATTAAATGATAAATACATTTCTCTAAATCTTACATCAGTATAAACATGTAAAATGTACATATAAAATTTTTGTTGGACAGTTTTTATTTTTAATTCCATTTATTTCAACATTAGTTAATCATTACGAATAATTGTTTGAATCAAACGTGCACGTTAGTTTTAAATTATAGTTTATCAGTTTTTAGAGTATTATATTATTATTTATTACACAACACAATGTCTCAGTGGGTTGCTCTTTAATTTCTCGCACATTTTTGACTTTTCTCTTGTAAACATTTTTCATCACTGGCCGTTAAAACTAAATTCACTATTTTCTTTCTCCGGCTCATTTCGTAGCTTATACAAAAACCACAGATTTCTTTTTCACTAGGTAGGTATATAACTTACGCAAAGTACTTTACAAGTTAATACAGTATATCTTTACACTATGCTTTTGTTTCTAATAGCTTGAAACTAAAATTAACCTTAAAAAAAGAAACAAGCCAACTTTAAAAACAAAAAGGATAAAAAAATCACCTGAATGAAGCTAAGTAGTTCCATTTCAGACTGGATTTTTTCAAAAGTGAATTCTTTATTAAAATCTAAACTCAAATAAACTTTATACAGAACGAAAATCAGTTCCAAATTTGTCATATTTTCTTAAAGTTAAAGATTGCACTACAATAAGAATCTTAATTATATGAATACACATTGCATGAAGGATTTAGTATGCGTCGTGGATACACTAGGGTAGAATTAGGACTATTGTGGAAAAATATTTTTTT